GGAAAGAGGACTCATGTGGGAGGTCTCAAGGTTGGGACTGGAGTGAGGGGACAGAAAGAGGGTCTGAGCAGAGGCATGGACTGGACAGTGGGCTTAGGGGTCCAGTGTCTCCTCACCCTCCAGCTGGTCCTTGTTAAACTCGATCTGTGGAAGGAAAGAGCAGGTGAGCAGAGATGACAGGCCTTACTCAACCCCCCTCCAGCAGCCTCCCCACCAACTGGCAGCCACTTCTGGGGAGGGGCCCAAAGGGACCAGGCTAGGATCCCAGCCACCTTCGTCCCATTCCCAGCTCTGGACCTTGGGAGAATCCCAAGAGGAGGAATTATAGGGGGAGGGTTTCCTGGGAACAGGGCTAATCCTGTGCCACCTGTTCCCCTCCCTCCACTGCCCTGAGCCCTGCATCCCTCACATAACTGGGGGCTGAACAAAGGCTAAATTTACCCCTGGCCCCCAGCTGTGATTGTCTAACAAGTCTGTCCTCTTCAGCCTCCCCTCCTGGGATTCAGAGCTGCGGCCTTTAGAGTTAGCCAGCCAGCCAGGGCCAGGCAGCAGCTCTCTCCCTTCACCTTGAAACTGTCCTCAGAACCCAGGTGTTCCCCATCCCAGAGTCCCTGCCTCCAGCAGGGAGTCATGCATGTGTGCGCGTGTGCGCGCGTTATAGGGTGAGGACAGAACAGCAAAGACAACAGCAGTCATCGGCCTGGATACTTCCAATGGGGGACTGAGGGAGACCCCCAGTCTCATCTCAGTGCTCACAGAGTCCCCATCTTCTAGACATCCCCTAATCTCCCAGCCTGTATCCCACCCTTGTACCACCCCTCCAAATTATCCCCTCACTTTCTGGGGACTCACCGTCACTTTGGAGAGATCAATAGGGGGCTCCTGAGTTTTTTCAGGGGCTGAAGGCACAGCCGACTCAGCCTTGGGCTTGGCTGGAGGGGCCCCCGCTGCTGGCTTGGCAGCAGGCTTGGCGATGGAGGGTCCTGCTGGTTTCTTCACAGGAACATCCTTCTTGGGAGGCATGATGTCCGGTGGCCACAGGACAGTGTGCCGATGAGGGCACCCATCTCTGTTTAAATAGCCAGGGAGTCT